GGGGGGGGGGCAGAGACAGAGCGCTTTAATGCAGAAGTTTTAGTTGCACTTTAGCAACCAAAGAGGGCATTCACAACAGAGATTTCAGATCTTACTAGGACAATATTGACCCTCGCGATGTGCGAGATGGTCCGTGACGCGGCGATAACAGTATCGATAGATCGCGATGCTGTTTTGCAAGGATGTCATGGCTAGGTTTGCCCTTGAAATTATTTGTCGTTGGGAAAACATTCGGAAATCTGTTTTTGTTGTTTCTCTTTCGTTCAGGTAGGGGGATCGAGGTACAAATTCGAGGTTTGGGATTCGTTGTTTATTCAAGCCCCCTTTGAAAAGGTTCGTCTCGAGTACGTAACGGATTTTCGGCGAGGCTTTCGCATAAGTATAGGCCAAATATTTCCGACATGTTCGTTTCAATGATCACCGTTCTGAACGGCTTAATTAATTAATATAGTTAGCAAGTTTAAAAATGTGGGGTAGTAGACAAACAGATATAATATGATGATCAGAATACAACGAGGAAAACAAGTACACAGCGTCCTAATACTAAATCTACAGATCATTTGAATAATATTACGCTATATTTATTTATTAGAACGATAAGACGGAATTAATTTAGACATTTCTCTATTTTTGTTACATACGAGCTTGAATTATGGAATTTATTCAGTCCCTCTACCGACAATGACAATTCTAACGATGAACAAACAAGTTAATATCAGCAATTTAAGATAACAATTCCTTTAACAGTAGGACTACCGGGCCCAAAACGCGACCAATGTATATTGTTTTACAACAATAACAAGATCTGTTTTACTCAAACTTCGGACGGCTTCTGCTATGATACGAGCCGTTTATTTTGAAAGCGGCATAAGTCACTTTACCGTAATGAAAAGTGGTGAATTTTTAATGTTTATACGAAATTATTTATACTGAGAAAAATATCAGTATCCTGAGATAACAAATACAAGTAAATCTTCTCGAAAGTTAGCATCCATATTTTTAAACGTGTTAAAATTAAAATATATCGACTTAAAAACAAAGTGACTTATGCCACTTTCAAAATAAACGGCTCGATATATGCTCGAGTAAAGAAGTTTGCCTAAACATTCCTCATGGAAACATTTTTATGATGTTAGAAACTGTAAAAGAAAAAAATCCTCAACGATTATTCCCGAAGAAAATTATTAGTTTCTTTCCGGTATGCAACAATTACAAAGAATTCAATCACGCCTTTTCCTCAAGGCATCAATTAACCATGCCTATCGGCACGTTCGCGCGAGTGGACGATAAAGAGGCAACGACTGTCGGGCCAGCCTGACGCAACCAGGATTCAAAGATGGCGCCAACAGGGCTCCGGTTCCGGCGATCGCCGCGAGAGGTCGGGCCGGCTCGGCCGCGTCCCGTATACACGGAGTTTCCAGGCCCTGAACTTAGTCGCGCGCGGTGAACGTTCCGTTGTACCGTCGAATCTTCGCGCGCGTCCCGTCGTAAGTGACAGTTCGAAAATCCGTTTCGCCGTGAGGACAGAAGGGAAACGCGATCGCTTCCGTCGGGCGGCGCGTCGTCTAGATCGTGAACGGGGGCGGCGGCGCGCGCGCACGCACGCCTCGCGGTTCGTCAGCGTATCGCGCGGTATAAACGCGAGACCGCGAAACAACACCGTGGTAATCTCGTGCGAGGCGCGTTCTCGCGTGCAGGCTGAGAGAACTGGTCGGCGACTGGTCGCGTTCGAGCGACACGGACTTCACGGTGTACACCGTTCAGTCACGTGGCATCCATCGGGAAATTAAAACGGCTCGCGAACATAGTGGAACAGAGTGAAAGAAGAAGTGCGGTATCTATCGGCCGATACACGTCGCGATGTCAACAACCGGACAGCGGGACGCGAGAGAGCGCGAGGAAAGAGGATCGTTGTCTGTCGCCTATAAACACGACACTGGTGCGTGCCGGGCCGAGTAATGTAAGAAACATAGCCGTCGGACTTTGTTTACAATCGGTTCCGTAGCTTATCGCCGAAATTCATCGCTGATCGTTCACGTGGATCGGCGGGATCGCGCCGTGCGTCGCGCTCCGTGTACGCGACCGGCTCCGTGAACTGAACGCTGCCGAGCCGTTAGAAGAGATTGTGTGAATCGTGTGGTTCGTGCGTAACAGGGAAGCGGAGAGAGTACGGGGAGAGTAAGTGAGTGAGATAGCGAAAGCGAGAGCTAGAGAAAGAGAGAAAGAGAGAGAGAGGAGTGGAGCGGTAAACGACATATTCCAAATGCGTCTTGACCGGAAGTTGAGGATCGTCGCATTGGCAGGGTGGCAGAGGATGCTCGGCTCGAGGGCAGCGGCGGGAGACGAGGTCGCAGCAGTAGCAGTAGCGCGCGTCAGGCGCTTCGGTAGCAGAGGTTCTCACTGAGCTGGCTTACCCTGCGGTGGATTTAGGGGGCTGTATGGAGGCCGGGGGGCTCCTGCCCCGCCAGCCCCCGCAAGGCCCCCCCGGCAACGCGCCTGGCCCGATCTCGGTCTGCGTGGGCCAGGCACCACCGAACAACGGCAACAACAACACCAACAACGTGGTGGTGAGCAACGTGATCGGCCAATCGGCCGGCATCCACGATCTGAACGCGGCCGGACAGTTGAACGTGACCGGTCAACAGCTGCAGCTGCAGCAACAAATGGGTCAAGCACCTGGTATGGGTGAGGTGCTCACCCCCAAGAGACAAGCTGTCGTCGATCGTCTCCGACGGCGGATCGAGAATTATCGCAGAAGGCAGACCGACTGCATACCCAGATTCGATCAGAGTTTCAACGGGCTCTGCGAACAGAACATACAAGATACGTTGGTGCTCAAGCAACGATTCCTCGAGAGCAAGGCGAAACGACAGGCCAAGAAGACGGATAAGAAGCAGAGCGACCCGGTCGGACTATCCAGCATTCACGTGGTGAGTCATTTCACTATACTCGCGCTGTGTTGCTGCTGCTCCGGCGCACGGAGCTAGCTCTCTTTCGTACGATTACTGCTCGTACAGTTCGCATGCACGTTTCTCGTTCCTTCGTTTGTTCGTTCGTTCGTTCGTTCGTTCGTTCGTTCGCGCCGATCCTGGCGTAGGTGCTGCCGCGCAACGGTCGTCAACCTTCTCGCTAAACTTTCCTTGTCCTCTCTCTACTTTCCTTTGCATACTATCAGGTCGCCGCTTAACTTCGCCCTGTTTATCCGACGCTAACAGTTCAGCTGCCGGAAGACTATTCATAGGATTTCATCAATGATCGTCGCATCAAAAGCAGATTGGGGAAATTAGCATTTAGAATTAAATTCTGGTATCTGTGGCTCTACTTTCATGATTGCAGCACGATTGTCTGTTTTATTTTGTCCCACCGAATGAAACCAGATTATAACATTGCTAGAAATAATTTATTTGGAACATCTACTACTCCTCTATTAATTTTTTGCATAACTGTAACAACCGCTCTCGCGGAACAACCGGTCTGACCATTACTTTGAAGATTGTTATGTAGAAGAATATTCTTTAACCCAGGGGTGTCAAACTCGCGGCCCGAGATGAACATTTTTGATGTCAAGTGTCAGGACGTAAACAATAATTTAACTTTATATATGTGTTTATTACAATGTACTAGTCAAAATAAAAATATTTGTTTCTANTGCTCCGGCGCACGGAGCTAGCTCTCTTTCGTACGATTACTGCTCGTACAGTTCGCATGCACGTTTCTCGTTCCTTCGTTTGTTCGTTCGTTCGTTCGTTCGTTCGTTCGTTCGCGCCGATCCTGGCGTAGGTGCTGCCGCGCAACGGTCGTCAACCTTCTCGCTAAACTTTCCTTGTCCTCTCTCTACTTTCCTTTGCATACTATCAGGTCGCCGCTTAACTTCGCCCTGTTTATCCGACGCTAACAGTTCAGCTGCCGGAAGACTATTCATAGGATTTCATCAATGATCGTCGCATCAAAAGCAGATTGGGGAAATTAGCATTTAGAATTAAATTCTGGTATCTGTGGCTCTACTTTCATGATTGCAGCACGATTGTCTGTTTTATTTTGTCCCACCGAATGAAACCAGATTATAACATTGCTAGAAATAATTTATTTGGAACATCTACTACTCCTCTATTAATTTTTTGCATAACTGTAACAACCGCTCTCGCGGAACAACCGGTCTGACCATTACTTTGAAGATTGTTATGTAGAAGAATATTCTTTAACCCAGGGGTGTCAAACTCGCGGCCCGAGATGAACATTTTTGATGTCAAGTGTCAGGACGTAAACAATAATTTAACTTTATATATGTGTTTATTACAATGTACTAGTCAAAATAAAAATATTTGTTTCTATGAACATTGATTTTTTTCTTTTTTGCGGCCCACCTAAAGTTAAGCATTGTTCATTTATTATTATGGTCCAAGTTAGCTTTTGAGTTTGACACCCCTGCTTTAACCTAAAGTAATCAATGGCGAACAGCTGAATGTTTGATTAATTAACCGATAAACAGCAACAGCAGTTTCAGCGTGATACAGCAACTTCCTTCGCGATTAGCATTTCGAGGAGAATTATCGAGCTTCCTCCACGTAGGGTAGTCTAATCACAAGCTCTAATAAGATGCCAGCAGCTGAAGCGTGTACTTCTCTGAACATCAAAATCTTTATCTTGGAACTATAAATAGATGCAATGACCATTCGGCTCGGTTTTATGGGATCTTTAACGAAGACTGGAGGAGTCGATAAAGGAATCGTAATGCCGTAAAGATGAATCTGAAATATCAAAGGCTGCATATCGATTAGAATCCCTGAGGGGTATTGTGAAATTCCGTTTAATAGGACAAGGGAAGTTCACGAAGGTCGATTGTGTTGCGATCGAATGAACGAAACCGCGATCTAAGAACGATACGTGCCGTGATCCAGAAACGATACGTACCGTGATCCAGAAACGAAACTGTCGGGGATCACGCGATTGAGAACATCTAACACAAGCCGCAGCGTACACTGCGACTCCGCGAGTAAGCGGGCGCTCGGCAACTTGCCGGGTCAAGACTCCTACTATACACAGGTTTCGAATCGAAGCGCGGGTGTAATGAAATACCACGGTTCTTACACCTATCGCAGCTCCATTTGCAAAGCGTCGCGTCGGGACGCGATATCACCAGCTGATAACGATCACCGAATTTTCCCTATGACGATATCTTGACGCGTACTTGGATAGCCTCGTTTGTTTCTCTCGTGAAAATTAGTACTATGGAAGAGACGAGCCAAATTATTTTCCATAGCTAGTCACATTTTAATTTAATTTTACTAAATTCGCTGTTTCATGGAAAAGTTGCTAACTCGTAAAAGATACAGGCACCATTTTAATTCCTGTACCAGGGTTTTGAATATTTCATTTTTCATGGATTATTTATACTTTATACAGCAAATCATAGATCTTTGTTGAAATTTGTTGCTTTGGATGCTAATTTATAGAACAAAAAACAGATTTTATTTTCTGTGCTAGCGTGCATTTTAGTGTCCATGGTTCTATAGATTGTTTTGCACTGGGAATGATTCTTAATAATAACAGTTGTTAATATTGTTAAATAGTAGAGGCGATTGTAAAAATTTATTCCTTAAAATTAATGCGTAGAAATTCATTTTTAACGAAATAATTTTGGTTGGTACCAAACTTTGGTTTCACATTTGCTGACATTTTCTCTCAGATTCGTCGATGATTGATCAGACATGGTACATTATGGAGAATTTATTCAATCAATTTTCATCGTGGACATGTTAAAAATCGCGACGAATCCGAATACGCGTTTCATTAAAATATTGACGTAGGCAGTACTATTCGGTTCTTTACGCGAGATTGTTACGTCAATCCCAAACATTCGTGGCACAATGCAAACAAACTGTCTTCCGAATAATAAAAGAACGAAGCATAGACTCCTGTCCTCTAACTTGAACTACCACATTCTTACTCTTCGAGGCTATTCAAACGAAAAGAACTGTATACCTGACAACAGGAAGGTACACCTATTTCTGTTACAATGGGGCGTACTCGCAATCACGAAACATTCGTTGAAATTATGCAGGGAGAGGGGTGGGGGGCTGAATACATTTAAACAAGTGAGAAAGGACACGTAAAAATAACACGCTCTTCTCTTCGGAATCTTTTTTTAAGGAATCTTTCTTCGAGCCCGAGGAACGCGTCCAGTGAACGGATCAGTAAGATACGATCCGTGGATAAGTCAGGATTTTTACATATGCCGGCGTTTGCAACGGTATTTACATATGCCGTTGGAAATTCGTGCAATAGAATCAGAATAGATAAAGTTGAAACATTTTTCTTATCAGCAGCTTTTCTGAGATTTCTGCGCCCGAGATTGTGGCCGCGTATCAATGATTTTCTCTATCTTATCGGAATTTTTAATTTCGCAGTTTCTTTTTGCAAGAAACCGGGCGTACATATTCCGCCAGCGTCGGTTCGCGTTCCGTTTATTTGCAACGATGCTTCCCGTTCTGTCGCGCCGAGATAAATAAAATTATGTAGCAATTTGTTACAATGTCAAACTTGGGAAAATTTACAGCCATTTATTATAAATAGCTATAAAAATTGAACGTTGACATTTGTCAACAATTTCGGGAAATTCTAGAGCTCTTTATTTAATCTGAATAATTTAGACAAATTGCAGAACTCTTGATGCAGAAATCTTGATAATTTGGAAAAATTGTAGAATGCTTTATGAAATCTTGGCAATTTGGAAAAATTGTAGACTGCTTTATGAAATCTTGGCAATTTCGAAAAATTGAAGAATGCTTTATGAAATCTTAATAATTCAGAAAAATTGTAAAACTTTTTATTAAATCTTAATAATTTAGAAAGATTGTAGGACTCTTTAATAAGTCTTAATAATTTTGAAAAATTGTAGTACTGTTTATTGAATCTTAATAATTCAGAAAAATCGTAAAACTTTTTATTAAATCTGAATAATTTAGGGAAATTGTAGAACTCGTTATTAAATCTTAATAATTTGGAAAAATTGTAGAATACTTTATTAGACTCTAACAATTTATGAAAATCGCAGAACTCTTTATTAAATCGTAACAATTTAGAAAACACATTTTAAAGATTCTATAATTTTAACAATACAGAAAGATAGAAAAAGTTCTTCATAAAATTTCAGAATTTGGAAAAATTGTATAGCAATTGATTAAACGGAACACAGAGTCATTGGTTACACCAATCTACTTAGCTAATAAGTTCTGGAAACGGTATAACGTCGGTAGTAAGTAACGTGTTGCTTTATTTCGAGTCTGCTGGGCTCGTAATTCTTCGTATATTCGCGATTTAAAAAAAACACTATCGAAATCGCGGATGCAATACAGTTTTAGAGCGGAGCTCGTTCGGCGAACGCTCGTAGATCGTCGGTTATTGTGGCAAAATGTATTCGAGTAACCTCGAACACAATGCCACAGACGTCTGTGCCGACAATAGCGCCGAAAAGGACCGGTTTTAAGAATCGCGGTTCATTCTTTCGGATCTAGATCGCGTCTCTTGCATTCGAATTAAAACTGGAGATCTCTCTTTCTCTCTCTCTCTCTCTCTCTCTCTCTCTCTCTCTCTCTCTCTCTCTCTCTCT